TTATAAAACAATTATACCATTCGCTCTCGTCGTATATGGCTGATAGCCGACTCGGTGCTACGCACCTCGTCGGCTATCAGCTCATATACGACTCGAGCTCATGGTATAATTGTTAAATATTGTGTGCATGTGCTTGCGATCTATCCCTGTGGCAATATTGCCAAACATATAGAAATTAACAAATATATTTTGGTGTCCCACGGCCTCACACTTTTCGAACAAGATAATTTGCTTTAAAAAAATACATGCACTTCACAGAATTTTTCTCGTTAAGGATACAATATTTTGATCGGAAACGTACGGACTTGCACGCGCGCAGAGAACAACTGATACTCTAAGTGAACTTCGTAAGCCACCAGCGCATGGCGTACCAAAATTGCATGCAGCGCATGGCATAGCGTGACAATCGTGTAAATTTGAAGCACTTGGCGACTTGTTATAAGCTACAGTATAGAATAGGCCGATATACATTATAGATATGATTCCGATCGTTCTCTTTCGAACCAAATAGATGCATAAACCAGTTCGAATTTCCTAGTTGTAAAAAGTCTAAAAGTATAATTAGTCGTTAAGAACAATGCACCCTGTATAAGATTGAATTACTAGCTTTAAGTCAAATGTAATTTAACATCTTCATGCTGGGCGTGGACCTGCCGTACATTAATGTTTATCCTGGTTGTCGCAAGATATGATGAAAATGGTCTCCACTCTTCGGCATTCGCTGAAAAGTTACCTAATCTCTCCGCAATAATGTTCGAGTTGTAAAACATTCTACATACTGAACAGCAGTCAGTTTCTTTCTCGCATTTTTCTTTTGTTTGTTTAAGCAGAGGCATATTGTCACCGTTAGCATGTTCGTCCCATTTTAAACAGTCCGGTGGCTCCTCGTCATTTCCAACTTTAACAATACATGGTACAGCATGATAAGCCAGTCTTGACTCTCCTGTCATAACAATAACATCACCACTCTTCACAAATAGGGCTAAAACCAAAACAAACAGGGTTGAAAACAAAACAAATAGGGCTGAAAACAAAACTGTAAAAATACTGTAAATGCTGTTGAACAGAGTAAAACACTACAGTATGCTGCTAATTAAACATGGCGCCTTAGATGCTTGGCAGCAATCTGCTGATTCTTGTTTCACTGTTTGCTGTTTTTAACAGAAAAACACAACGATTCGAAGAACATTGTGCCGACACCAGCACTGCTATTGCAGCCTCATTCGAAGCGAACAAGTACCAGATACTACCCACAAACACTCATTTCTCAGCAGGACCAAGGAAATTATCCAACATCTCTGTTCGCAAGCTAACTCCGGACAGGGTAAGGTTCATTCGCTTTATTATCAGTCTCATTCGGAAGGTGATTGTTGCGAACTTAATTCTACAATGCAACGACATTTCTTTAAATCCTGGTCCGGCATCGAAGTATGGCTCAAACAGCTATCGAGTTGCTATGCATGTTAAACGCGCGAAGCTTGAAAAACATCCATATGGACATAGTCCGTGTGTTGTGACCCGATATCGTTCACTTTCATTAAGCATGTCTTAGATCTGAAATATTTTTGCGGGAACTAACACTTTCGAACACGCTGAGTTCAAATCCGAAAAGTTCCCACTCCGTAGACCCGCAGTTTTTTCACAAAATGCTATTTCATCTTCACTAATTTCACAACAATTTTTTTCATTGTTCAACGATACAGATCGATGACGATACACGATTATGTCACTCAAAAGGACCAATTTCTATTAAACATTCTTCCTTCTAACAAAAGATCGGTTTTGCTCGAATCATTTTGAGTTATGCAATCTTATGCGTGTTGAACGTAAACAACATATCTTGTCTACAACTTTGAGAAGGTACAGATAACGCTTTCTAAAATCCTCAGTTCTAGGGATATCTCTATAAAATCACAAGGACATTAATATCAAGTCTTTTAGCTATGTCACTGGCCTGAAAAATAACTCTTTTAACGCGATCAAGATATTTAAAACAAAAGTAACGCGAAGCCAACGTAACGGCAAAGACAACGCTAAAACGAAATATTGTCGAATGGTTGCAGGTAGAAGACTTACGACAGCATTAATCTTAAATAACCTTAAACTATAAGAATAAATGTTCACATCCAAGACAAAGATCAGTCACAAAGTATAAAATATGCTCTGTAAACTTACCGCGAAGTGGAGAAATGTGTGCATGAGCTGTTTATTTGATGATTTCGACGTATATAGAAGCCCTCTTTCCAATAATACTCGCTTATCGCACAGTATAACACCAACTCATGTAATAGTTCAAATGCAATGATAAGTTATCTCTTGAATTACGTCTTGGAAACCGTGTTGGAAATTTCAATGCTGATCCATTACATATAGATTACCGTTTTATATCTTTGTATAAAACATTTTGATCGCATGTAACGAATTATTTCTCATCCCAGAGACATAGCACAAAGACTTGACATTAACGTCCTTTTGATTTTATAGAGATAGATCCAGAACTAAGGATTTTAGA